CCCAGACACAAGCTTTTGCATAACGCATTACGCATAGTGAATAAGAGAATCAACCAATCGAAATTCTTCTTTTCCATGGAATGGGAGGAAAGTAAGAGCCCGGACACAAGCTTTTGCATAACGCATAACGCATAGTGCATAAGCGAATCAACTAATCAGAAGCTTTCCTTTCCTCTCATTCCATGGAAAAGAAGAATTTCGATTGGTTGATTCCATTATGCACTATGTATTATGCGTTATGCAAGAGTATGTGCTGCGGCCATTAGTCCGGATCTACAATAGAGTTTTAAGCCTTAAGCCATAAGAAATGGGCGAATTACAGTCGCTTATTCTTCTCGGATTCGACTGTAATTGATCAATTTCTTACGACTTAAGGCTTAAAACACCTATTGTAGATCCGGGGTTATGGCCGCAGCACACACTCTTGCATAACGCATAATACATAGTGCATAATGGAATCAACCAATCGAAATTCTTCTTTTCCATGGAATGAGAAGAAAGGAAAGCTTCTGATTAGTTGATTCGCTTATGCACTATGCGTTATGCGTTACTCCGGATCTACAATAGTGTTTTAAGCCTTAAGCCATAAGAAATGGACGAATCACAGTAGATTATTCCCCTCGGATTCGATTGTAATTGGTCAATTTCTTACGGCTTAGGTCTTAAAACACCTATTGTAGATCTGGGGTTATGCAAAACCTTGTGTCTGGGTTCTTAAGGTCGCGACACAGACTTTTGCATAAAGCATAATGCATAGTGCATAATGGAATCAACCAATCGAAATTCTTCTTTTCCATGGAATGAGAGGAAAGGAAAGCTTCTGATTATAGTTGATTCGCTTATGCACTATGCGTTATGCAAAAGCTTGTGTCTAGGCCCTAAGGGCCCTTAGGCCTATCGCACATGAAATGCATAATAGAGCATAAACATAACATAAGACCGCTGGACCAATGAGCATCCAGCATTAAGTCGCCATATTGATTTACATAAGATGTTCATTGGTCGAGCGATCTTATGTTATGTTTATGCTCTATTATGCATTTTATATGGGATAGGCTTTAGGGCCCAGACACAAGCTTTTGCATAACGCATAGTGCATAAGAGAATCAACGAATCGAAATTCTTCTTTTCCATGGAATGGGAGGAAAGGAAAGATTCTAATTAGTTGATTCGTTTATGCACTATACATTATGCTTTATGCAAAATTCTGTGTCGCGGCCTTTAGGGCCATTCCACACAAACTTGCATAGTCGCATCAACTATGCATAAAGAAAATCATCCAATCGTAGTTTACGTTTGTCTTTATGACAGAAATGTGACTAGATAATTTTCTTTATGCATATGGTTGCGTGGTTCTGCAAGTTTGTGTGGAATGACCCTTACTCTATTCAAGTGGTCTGTAAAGAAGGTTAAATTGATAGTTTCACGATATCAATTGTGATCACCACATTTATTTTCTCGAATATGTTTCTACGATTATCTCAAATATATGAATTTGTAAAAGGAAATATGAATAGTCGGAACATGAACGAAGGTGAGGAGTTTAAAAATATGCCTAAGTAATTACTGTTGGCCACACAAAACAATGAATAATGTCGTGATCAAACATATTCCGGGTCTTGTGTTGCAATGAGCGCACTTAAATAATTTCCGCATATGGTAGAAGGAATTATAAACACCGTATATAAAAAATCAAAGATCCAAAAAATGATGTGCTTATGTAAAGCGGAATTATCAGGAAATTGTAAGCATATTGTAGCTGTTTTTCGCTTTTTGGAAAGATATGTATATTAAATTATTTATACAATAAAATCAATCAAAAATGTTAAATCAATAAGATATTATATTATAAATTATATTAAAAATTCGAAAAAAACTATCTTAAAAAATAACTAAATAAATGTTTTTTAGGAATGATATTTTGAAATTGGAAGCCATTTTGTCTTGCGCCGATTTAAAATGCATTTGTAATTCATAAAAAAATACCATACAGGATGAATTTAGTCCTGCTGAAATCACATCATTTTGCTGTCTCTCAAAAAGTCAATAATATCAAAATAAATGTACCTGATTTATTTGACAGACTCTGTAATCTAAAACCAAATGATGCAGTATCGTTACATAAACGAGGGCGTGGTACATCAATAAATCCTCGCAATGAAAAGACAAGAGATGCCAAAATTCCAATAGAAGTACAAGCC